TAACGATGTTCATAGCTTCCAACATGCGGTCCTTCACTGCTGGGAGAACATTGTCATCAAAGAAGGCCAATGAAACCAACTCTTCTGACAAGTACCAGAGGTGTCTCATCATTTTGTGGAAAGTTGCCATTGATATGGCATCGCTGATGGTACTGTAGTCTTGTAGAGCTTTAAGCAACATCAGATCTCCTTTTGGTGCCTTTGCAACAAGTGGAGCAGTTGTCCAAGCCTTCACATATATTCGGGCAAAGAAAATGTACTAATCTCTTAGTCCTCTGTTCTCCTTTGGAGTAAGCTTAAACTGAGAACGGAACAACCACACTTTGAAGGAATAAATGGTCTTTGCCATCCATCGTGCTTGGTGCATTGCACCAGGAGCAGAAAATCGTACTCCCCGAGAAGGTGATGTGCCAAGGAAGATGGAGGCCAGCTCTAGCAGCTCTCGATAATCATCTCGAAGCTGTGTCTCCAATAGAGCCTTCTCAATGAAGTTGGTTAGATCGTCCCTAACAGCTCTGACCGATTCTTCTGCCAGATCGTCGGTGGAGGAGTCTTCAAACTTCTGCTTGTCAATTTGTTCCCATTTGGCTTGGAATCTTCTGAACAGCTGTATGTCAGGAGCAGCTGAGTGCCCCATTACAGCTTCAAAAGCAGCTCCAGCTACAAGTTCTAGTACATGGTGGCGGCAGGCAAAATATAGCAAATCACAACCCAGCAACTGCTCAATTTTGACACACGCACCCTTGTGGTGACCAGTATTTGAGCTTGTTGTATCAAAACACATGCCATGCACGATGTCTGCAATGTGCCATTGCTGCAAAGCCTTCACAGTGGGGATTAGTGGATGTCATCATTATGACCTGACCTCATGTTTTTAGGTCACCCTGTATATTTAAGCCTCTCTCTGTCCATGTAATCCAGTTGCCTCTGAAGATGTCTTGAATAAAGACGAAAGCTAAGGTACCTGTTGTTTCCATTTTCCTGTGATTGATATATATATATATATATATATATATATATATATATATATATATATATATATATATATATATATATATATATATATATATATATATATATAAATATATATATACATATATATATATATAAATATATATATATATATATATATATATATATATATATATATATATATATATATATATATATATATATATATATATATATTTCCTGTGTATTTATATATATATATATATATATATATATATATATATATATATATATATATATATATATATATATATATATATATAAATATATATATATATATATATAAATATATATATTTCATTAGCCCAATATCACGCGGACTTCTACATACAATCAACACCTCAACCCGCCAGGATTCGAACCCACGGCCCACTAGCCCATGACTGTGACCGTGGAACGCTACCTACTGGACCACCAGGATTAAAAGCAGTCCGAGACTCTGTTATATTTCACACAAAGCCTGTTCAACGAGCTTATGGCGCCGTGAACCTCTAATGGGGACTACACATATCACGTAGGTGGTCAGAGTAATGTTTTACCAAATCCGGCTTCGAAACACGAGGATCCATAAATCACTGTAGGTGCGCGTGATCCAGGTATATGCTGATAACCACAAGGAAAAAGAAAACACGATGTTTCCAAGCGCTTTTGTGTAATTCATATCTTCAATGTTTTTACGTGCTTTGAGAATTTGCAGCCCGAATTCATTGATGAGGAAGATAAATATATCTATCATATTGGTTCAAACCTTAAATACCCTAGATCTTTCATAGACAAATGCCTGAACATTACTAAGAAATATTTTTATAGAATTGATCTCAAGCCCACCCATGACCATAAGAATCTCTTAGTATTACCATTTCACAAAAATTTCTCTCAAATTCCTTTACAACTAAAAACCTGGAACGTCAATGTGGCATTTAAAAACTCATGTGTATATATATGTTAGCGGGAGAGAGAAGTGGAGAAGACGGGAATGCTGCGTTTAGCACGTTAAAGGGGTAGGATGCAGTTTCTTAGAACAATTTTTTCGTGGGGTCGTATGCATGTTTTTCTCAGCACATGAGGACAGTGCTGTCTTTTTTTAGGGGGGTCGATTGTAATATTCAGAAATTTCAGAGTAATTTCAAACACCGCGCAATTGGTGATACTGAGCTTTCAAGGTCGTCGGAGGGAAGAGAGCGCTCCCTGCACATAGCGAGAGGTTGTGGAACTAGGCCTAAGTGATATTAAATGTAATTTGCCGAATTAATAATGATGCGATTCATGAAGTTAAGGGACTATTATTAAATTTGAAATTATTATAGATCGTTTATCAGTCTGAATAATGTCACGGGTGTCCCAAGGAGTTATTAGTTAGGCGGAAAATATGTCACGTAGGCCTAAGCTAGCGCCTTGGAGAGACGCGACGCTGGCTGGTCCTCAGTCACGTGAAAGAGATTGGACCTACAGGACATCCCTGCGCGTCTGTCCACAGAAATAGTCACGTGGCCTAGTCACCTGTGTTGCACTATTGCAGTATAACAAGTAAGTCTCATTCGATCTCAGACAGGGTTAGATAGGGCACTGGTAAAGTTAACAAGAGCTAACAGTGAGTTCATTTCAGGGTTTCCGTCAGAACCCACTTGACCTGAGTTTGACTGCGAGAAATTGACTGAGAGAGTGATGACCGCGAGAGATTGACTGCCGTTTGAGACTGCCGTTGATGATTGAGGGTGGCGATTGTCGCCATTGGACCGATCAGTGTAGGCCTGTCACTGTTTAGCGGGGTATCAAAGGATCTCTTGAGGGAATCTAGCTGTCTGGGTGCCCAGCTGACGACGGGACGATCGTTGGGGTCATCAGCTCTCCTCTACCTCGGCTCACAACACCACATGTCTCGAGCAGCTTAGTGAAACCCTCTTGCTAACGGGAAGCTAAAGCTTCTCTCAACTGTACAAGGCCTGATTGGCTCACTCCCGTTTCATGGATGTACTGGGGGTAAAGTGAGGCCAGCTGAGTGATACAGGGCCGCACACTGGGGCCAAGAGTCAGTGGAGTTAGAGGTACACTTTCCAAGGTTGAGAAAGGCTGATTTGGGCCTTAAACTACGGGTGCCTGTTGGTTGTGCCTTAAACGACTACGGAGTGCAGGTGGAATCAGTGTGTGTGTTAGGTTAGGAAGCATGGTTCACGGGTATTGGTGGACCCAGTAACAAACCAATAATAGTGACAATATATTTGGGTGTAGTTAATACCATTTCTCAGTTACTGATATTATCTTGACGTGTGTAGTTTAATATTTCTTAAACAATTTTGATAGTATTGTTTTTTTAATGTTTGTGTCACTAAGTGGAACCAGAGTGATACTGTGATTTGATTCTTTTAATGCATCTAATTTTTCTTCATAATTCCGATCTCAGGTATAACCTTTGTTTCCCAGAGTAGTGGTTAAGTTAGGTTAGGAAGTGTGCATCTGTTGGGGTGATATAATTTTGTTGAGTGCCCTTAAGGCCTATTCATTGTAGAGTTATTAATTTCTTATTTTTGAATACCATTTTCTCAGTGCTGGATATTATTTTGTTGAAAGCCCTTAAGGCCTGTTTCATGTGTGCAAGCAACATTTCTTACTACTTCAAATTTATTGTTGCCTGAGTTTCTAATAATTTCTATATCATGTATAACTTTTATTCCCCAGAGTAGTGTTTTAAGTTCAAGTTAAGAGGTGCGCATATTGGTGTACCATTATTTGATTGTGTTTGTAGTGTTGGAGGGAATATAAGTGTCTAAATTTTACAGTGTGTCTCATTCATCCCAGTCACAGACACTATCCTTCCACGGGTCACGGACAATTCATTTTGTTTAGTAGATTTAAGTGTTCTTGTGCTGGTTCGGAATTTTTCTCAAGGGGCGCTTCCACTGCCATTACCATCTTATAATCTTTAATAAACCCCAAGTCAAGTGAGAAAATAAAGTCCATTAAATTCCGACCGGTTACATATATATATATATATATATATATATATATATATATATATATATATATATATATATATATATATATATATATATATATATATATATTTTGATGAACTCCCTTATCCGAAATCCTTTTGGGCCCGAGGAATTTCGGATTTCGAATTTTTCGGTTTTCATAATTTTTTTTTATTAGCTCACCCGGCATAGATCACTGACCCACATCAGTGCCTGGTGGGGGCGAAAATATAATAAAAATATTAATAATAATAATTCATAGGTCTAGGGTCGTGTTTCACTTTTGATCTTTTTTTCATTCCTGTATTTTTATTATTATTATTATTATTATTATTTTATTACATAATACTCTGTATTATTATTATTATTATTATTATTATTATTATTATTATTATTATTATTATTAATGTTATTTATATTATTTTATTTTGGTGTTTTTATTAAAATTTTTGTTTACTATGAATAATTATTATTATTATCACTATTATTATTTACATTTTCGCCCCCGAGGTCCTGATGCGGGTCAGTGATCTATGCCCGGTGGGCTAATCCCTGTTTAAAAAAAAAATCCTAGCATAAAAACTTTCGGTTTTCAGAGCTGGTTTTGGAATTTCTGATAAAGGCTGTCAACATATATATATATATATATATATATATATATATATATATATATATATATATATATATATATATATATATATATATATATATATATATATATATATATATATATGTCATGTAAATCCACGAAAATTTTAAAGATATTCCTTGTTCAGAGGCAACTGAAGATGTCTGAATAAAGACGAAAGTTATGCTCCTTTGTTTCCATTTTCCTAGATTTATATATATATATATATATATATATATATATATATATATATATATATATATATATATATATATATATATATATATATATATATATATATATATATAGAGCTTCACCCGGGTGGAAGGACACTGTTAAGGTTTGGTTTACAGTATCTCCCCCATAATTTAATGAAATTGCTTTTCCAGTTACTGGCACAACCACCCTGGCGCTACAGGACAGCTTTGCGGAAAAGGGTGAGTAACAATATTCTTGGTGACTAAAGCTGCGCATTGTAGGGCATATGGTGGTGAGTAGTTCGTTGTATTGTAAATACCAGAAAGAAACTGTTTAAATTGTTATAAGAATTTTACCCGTCATTGAGTGGTGTTCAGATCATCGCGAGTGATGTTCAGATCATTGAGAGTTGCGCTGTGATCACTGAGAGGTGCTCAGATCACTGAGAGTGGTGTTCAGATCACAGAACATTGCACAAGGGGTTTAACTATGAAGGCCGAATTCCTTATGAACTGCAATCCACAGTTATTTATTTATTGAAGTGTAGAGACTGTAATGCGAAATATGTTGGTCAAAATATAACACAATGTTTCGATGTGTTTTGCTATTTTTCTTTTAAGGTATTTAAATGTACTCAATGCTGTATTTCATTTTATTTTTCATACTGAGTATTTTATGAACTGGAATGAGTTTGTAAGTTGAAGTTTAAAGGGATTTAGCGCGGTTTCCAAATTGTGGCGATCAATTGGATACAGCACTCGCCTCTTGTTACATAGGTCGTTTCCTCGATCCCCAGGCACTCCCAGTTTACTCAGCTGTGAATGGATACCTAAGTTTACAACCTGGGGAAGCGAGTGAGAGTGCAGTACCGACCATGCTTTTTACTTTTACTTTTATCCTCTTCGCCACTGAACGACTTCTTAGCCGCTTGGGCGGTCGGTCACGACTCTGTTACGCGCTGTTGGCAAGTACTGGGCTTGCACTGGTTCCTGAATGTATCTTAGCCTGCTCCAGTGTACTGTTGGTCAAGTCTGGTCTTGAAACAGAGTATGTGCCATCACAACACTCTCTGGTAGGTTGTTCCAAGAGTTTGCAATTCTCCCTTAAAAAAAGTTCTCCTTTACAGTTTTCTAGACTTGTGGCTCCTTCAACCTTGATCTGTGTTCCCTTGTGGGGCGGGCGTCCGCCAGCTCCAGCTTTGCCCGTCTGTAGTATAAGTTAGGTAGCTGAGGTGCCGAAGTGCAGGCACCAGTCTGGTGGCCCTCCTTTGGACATTTTCAATCAAAATTGTGACGAAGTCCCAGGTTGCTGATCTGCCTTTCTGCCTCATTTACACACAATTGTAGGGTCTCAATTGTTTCTCTTACATGACAACACAACATACATATCGCGTTTCTCACTATTGATTTTTTTTAATTCTTGTATTTTTTTGTATTTATTATTATTATTATCACAGTAGTAATAGTAGTAGAACGAGAGCTTCTGCCCCTACTCCGACAACTGCTGCAGATATTGACTATGAGGCTACAGTCACTGAATGCCGCATAGATCTGCCGCTCAACTAATTTAACACAGATAGGATAGCTTCTTATGTATTAGGATTTTTAATATTAAGGTAAATAAATGGTGGCGAAGGTGTGGCTATTGGGGGAGGCTGGAGGCCACGTTGTTAAAAAAAAAAAAAAAGTAGTAGTAGTAGTAGTAGGCCCGGGCGGCGTGGGTGTGTTGGGGTGCCTTCCCTGATTTAAAGTGTTATTGGTGGGGATATACTCAGTTTGTGGGAGCGAGAATTTCACAGTGTGTCGATGAATGTTGGATGTCACCTTGAGCATCATCGCCGACGGCTCTTCTCATTCCTTACGACATTAAACGCAAATATTGCGCGTGTTCACCGGCGATCTTCAAGTAAGCCTGTGAGTGTTTGAATGGTGAGTGGCTGGAGTTGCCAAGTGTCAGTGCCAGTGTGTCGATAGGCCTACTTTAGCAAGGGTGGCATCGCGACTCTCGCCCCTATGGGGCCAAGTGCCTCGCGCTTTCGGTCGCCCTCCCCCCCGCCTCCCCACCTCAAGTAACGGCCACTTCATGTAGTGTCGGCTGACCAAGTGAGTATATATAACTAATGTTACATCAGCGAGACCATAGAAATGGTGGCTATCTCTGCCAAAGTTACATAAACAAGTGTTAGGTGTGACAATTCTTGCTCCCAGTGGATTATTCTCATGTGTGGATTGTCGCCCACATGGGGGGTGCCCGACACAACCACACGCGCGCGTATGCCCCTACTACTCGGACACAGCAGGCCAGGCGGTCACCTCTGTGCCCCATACGCATAAGATCTAGTTTCTTCGTCCGTATGGGCCCAATAGCAGAGGTCGGAGGCGGAAGTATCTGTCGCCCAAGGTGCTGTTCACTATGCCTGGTAACATTCATTGTTGCGTCTGTGCTAACCCGAACCAAAACTGCACAAATTGTGTTTGTGCGAGAAACAACCGACCATGTGTGGATTGCAAGAAGCGAGACCAGTGTCGGAACCCACGTCGCAGGGAGCCGACACAGGTGGCCACAGTGGATATCGCCGGGACCCAACTACCCGATGATATCCGAAATGATAGCAGTGAGTCTACTCAACTCGAAAATGTAGTACTAATTAATGCTGCTCCCTTAGTAGCAGATGTCCACGAGGAGAATGAGAGACAGCCACCTCAGTGGAATGGCATGTCGATGGAAAATGCAGACATATGGGTCAAAGAAACCTATTCAGAAATTGTCAAGTGGTCGCCCGGTAACTTATTTGAACCACCCAAGTGTGCGGCCACCAAAGAAATGATTCGGGAGATGACTCGCTTCATGTCTGATTACACTCAGGACCGCTTCCTCGCCCCCCTAGCTCTTCAAATACTGGCAAAAATACCACATCTATTTTGTCAGAGGACACACACAAAGGCTAAGCACAAAGAAAATGTGGCAGCAATGAAGAGAAGATTGACAATGTGGCAGACTGGGGCCCTAGATGATCTCCTATGTGAAGCAAGAACACTGCAGGAGAGACTAAAATTTACGGGTGACGGAAAGCAAAACACCGATGACGTGGCAAGAAAATTTGGAAACAAAATGCGTGTGGGAAAAGTGTCTCTCCCAGTAAGATCTCTCACACAGGAATCCTCCGGTGGAGTGATGCCAATAAACAGAGAGACATTAAAACTATTGAAAGAGAAACATCCCCCTGCAAGCGAATGTGGGAGAGACTCAGGTGATCTTCTAATCAGGGGTGAAGGAAAAACACTGATGTCAAGTTCGTAAGTTCTATTTCTGGGACAAACACACAAAAGGAGTTAAGACAGGGGAAACAGCGTCCTGTCCTGGAATCTCTCTGGGTATCTCTATCTGCGCATGCGCGTACAGCGCGCATGTGCTCAAAGTCTGAACTAACAGTCAGTGACAAAAGGGAGTATGATTATAACATATAATACAGAGACCTGAATCAATAATGGTAATTAGTACAGTTACATATTACAGCATATTCGGAAAAATACAAGTAGTGACTAGCGTGTGCCATGCACGGCCCACAGTCAGACTGAGGCTGCCTTGCCATATGGCAGCCTCGGGGCAATGTTGCCACATAACACGTGCAGTGTTGCCATGTAATTACATATATAAATGCTACTCGGCACAGTAGCTTAGATACATAACCTACATCTCCCTCCCCCCCTCACAGTCTTCGTCTTGAGCGGACTTCTTAGTCCTAAGTCGCTCCGAGCGTCGAGGTGCACTGTGGGGCGGATCCTCGTGAGGTGTAGGGGACTCGTCCTCGGTCAGGGGACCAGCAGCAGGGGGTGGGACGGGCCGGAGGAAGCGGCGGTACCTACACCAGACGCGGCCGCTCGGCATCCTGACCTTGTAGTCCCGCGACCGGCCGACGCCCATCATTATGCCCACCTTGTCCCAACGTGTTGTCGTCGGGTCCTGGACGTGGACAAGGGCACCAATCTCCAGCGGCTGAAGAGGGCGGGCACGGTCGTCATACCGAGCCTTGGCGTCCTGGGCACGTGTAGCGGCGCGGCGGTCGCAGCTCTCGGCTCTAGTTTGCCGCTCCTTCGCAAAAGCCTTGGCGTGTGCAGGAACGCAAGAGCGGAGAGGGTGACCATACAGGATCTGGGCAGGGGAGCGTCTTTTGTGGGTGGGAGTAATACGTAACTCCAGGAGTCCTTTGTCAAACGCCTCACAGTCTATGCTGCCTGAAGGGGCCACCTTGAGGATGAGGTGCTTGACTGTCTTGACCGCAGCCTCAGCGTGGCCGTTTGACTGTGGGTAGTGGGGTGTTGACACGATGTGGCGGACTCCCCAACGCTCCAGGAATCCTGTGAAGTCCCGGCTGGTGAACTGTGGCCCACCGTCCGTCCGCAGACGTACGGGGACGCCCAGGTCACGAAAGAGGTGACGGAAGTGGCGAATGGTGGCCGCGGACGTCGTGTCCGAGCCACAGATTACCACCACAGGCCAGCCAGAGAGTCGGTCGGCGACAACTAGGAAATGTTTCCCAGCTGTGCTGAAAAAATCAGCCAACACGGACTCGAAGGGCCTGGTGGGTTAATCGTCGCACAAGAGGAGCTCCTGCTGTTGACTGGGCTGCATGATCTGGCACGGCTCACAGGCACGGACCGTATTGACGATATCCGCGTCAATTCCGGGCCAGTACACAGCCTGCCTTGCTCAGCGCTTGGTGGCCTCTGCTCCACGATGGCTGTCGTGTAAGCAGGCCAGAACGCGACGACGGAGAGCTGCAGGGACGACCACACGGGCACCGTAATGGACGAGGTCCCCATCTGCGTAGAGGTCCTCATGTATCTTCCAATACGTGCGTAGGGCGTTGTAGAGGTCAAAACGGTCGCGAGGGAACCCAGTCCTCACTCTCCAAGAGCTGAGTGTAGGAGGGGTCGTCGCGTGCCGCGGTCCGTACTTCCTCAAGGGCCAGATCGCTGTCGGGTGGCGACACTGAGGCCTGGGTGCTGGCGAGGGACTGTACGGCCTGCAAAGTGACGATGTTGCTGACGGAGAAACCGGCCTCGGTGCTGAGCATCTCGTCTTCAGGTGTCGGGCGGCTGACTGGGGAGCGGGAGAGGGTATCCGGGATGCACAACTCCTTACCTGCGCGCCAAGCCGCGGTGAAGACGAAGGCCAAAATCTTCTCCTTCAGGCGCTGGAGGCGGGGATTCTCGATGGCGTCCAGCGAATAGTGGTT